CATTAAAAAAAAAAAGTTATAATCCTATACCCACAGTGGATCCAGAGGAAGGCAAAAAAAAACCAGCAAAGCATGATCCAGTTTGCTTCTGCAGGGGAAACAATTCCTTCCTGATCCCAGAGACCCAATCAGATATTTCCTGGATTAACTTTACCTATAAATGTTAGTATCCAGTTATATTCTTTGTATCCAAGAAAGAATTCAGGCCTTTTTTAAAGCAATCCACTGAGCTGGCCAGAACCAATTCTTGAGGGAGTCTATTCCACATTTTCACAGCTCTTACTGTGAAGAAACCTTTCCACGTTTGGATATTACATTTATTTTCCTGCAGACATAAAGAGTGCCCCCTTGTCTTCTGTGATGACCTTGGGGTGAATAACTCTACACCGAGTTCACTATGTGAACCACTGATGTATTTATACATGTTGATCATATCCCCCCTTAATCTCCTCTTCTCAAGAGAGAATAAATTCAGTTCCTCTAATCTTCTTCATTGCTGAGCTCCTCCATGCCTCTTATCAGTTTGGCTGCCCTTCTCTGTACTTTCTCCAGTTCCCCAATGTTCTTTTTGTGAATTAGTGCCCAAAAATTGAACTGCATATTCCAGATGAGGTCTTACTAATGATTTGTACCGGGGTAATATGATATCTCTCTCTCTGGAGTCTATACCTCTTTTAATACAAGAGAGGATTTTGCTCGCTTTAGAAACTGCAGCTTGGCATTGTATGCCATTATTAAGCTTGTGATCTACCAGAACTCCCAGATCCTTCTCCAACACTGATTCCCCCAGTTGTACCCCCCCTAGTATGTATGATGCATGCATATTCTCAGCCCTTTATTCTCAGTGCAGAACATTACATTTATCAACATTAAACCTCATTTGCCACATAGTTTCCCAATTAAACAGAGCACTGAGGTCGGCTTGTAAATTAGAGACATTCTGTAAGGATGCTATTCCACTGCACAGCTTGGTGTCATCTGCAAAGACTGAAATGGTATTTTTAATCCCAGACCCTATATTGTTTATAAATATATTAAAAAGTAAGGGTCCCAACACTGACCCTTAGGGTACACCACTGATGATCCCAGACCATTCAGAGTATGAATCATTAACCACTACTCTCTGAATACGATCTTTTAGCCAGTTTTCTATCCATTTATATACTTATTTTTCCAAGCCTGTAGACTTTACCTTACACATTAGCTGTGTGCGGGGAACTGTGTCAAACACTTTTGCAAAATCCAAGTAAACCACGTCCACCGCCACCCCTCTGTCCAAGGTCTTGCTCACCTCCTCATAAAAAGAAATCAGATTTGTTTGACAACTTCTGTCTTTCAGGAATCCATGCTGCCTTTTGCTTAAAAAATTTTTTTCCAGCAAGAACTAATCTATGTGGTCTTTTATTAAACTCCCAACTATAGAAGTTAAACTAACAGGTCTATAATTACTTGGTAAAGACCCGTGGGTGTATGCCATCCAGTCCAGGTGCTTTATTCACCTTTATTCTGTCTAATTATTTTTGAATCATATCAATTGTGAGCAATGTGGATCATCTGGTGCTGTGTCAATACCATGCCCAATATGGACAAGAGCTCCCCTATGCTCCTTTGTATACACAGAGCTGAAGAAGGTATTTAGTAAATTTGCCTTCTCTTTGTTCCCAGTCACCCACTCTAGATTATTTTGTAAAGGGCCTACATGCTCGGACCAGACTTTTTTACTAATATATATTTGAAGACATTTTTGGGGTTGGTCCTGCTATCTTTTGCAATCTGTGTTCAATTTTTTCGGCCTTGATTTCCTTTTTGCATATTCTGTTACATTCTTTGTAATGTTTAAATGATGATAGTGTTCCTTAATTTTTATATTTAATAAAAGCTCTTGATTTTTAGCCTTTTAAACTTGTTGCCCATGGGAATATATTTTTCAGTGTGTTCACATATAGTCTTTTTGAAGAACTCCCATGTATGTGCTGTGTTCATGTTGATGCCAATATTCCCTCCAAGTCTAAGTCTTGGAGCAGCTCTCAGCCTTGGAAAATTAGCTCTCTTAAAATTGAGCATTTTTATTATCCCCGTATGTGCTTGCTGTTTACAGCTAACAATAAATGAGGAAGAGGTTGTGTCCTCAAAACACGTTAGCCAGTTGGTCATCCAGGGTTCCATCGTATGGACTCAGATGTTGTTTGGATCATACACCTTGTTCAGTTTGACATGCCTGTGTTATTATGTCCATTGTGAGTATGATACCTATTTTTGTTTCTTTAATAAATTATTTTAAATGATAATGCACTAGGTCGGTGCGCCCTTTTTCTGTTTCTCCATTTGTATCCAATAAATGAAATCATGTTATGGTAACTGCTACCCAGATGTTCTTTTATATGGACATTCGCAATAAGCTCTGCATGGTTTGAAATTACCAGGTCCAGCAGAGCATCATTCCTAGTTGGGGCCTCTATGAATACTGTACCATAAAATTGTCCTGTAGTAGGTTTATACATTTTAGCCCTTAAACTGTTCCTGCAGTACCATTACTCCATTCAATGTCTGGGTAGTTACAATCCCCCATTATTATCACTGTCCCAGCCCTTGCAGCCCTTTTGATCTGTGCATGGAGCTGAGTCTCCATCTCCTCATTAACACTGGGAGGCCTATAACAAACTCCAATGATTACCTTTGTAGTACGCACCCCCATGTGCAGTTCCACCCATAATGCTTCAGCCTTATCACACTCTTCATCAACTAGGTCCTCTTTCAAGCTTGCTCTGAGATCACTTCTCACATAGAGACAGACAGCCTCACCTTTCCTATTTACCCTGTCTCTCCAAAAGAGAACATAGCCAGGAATATTAATGGCTCAGTCATGTGAAGAATGAAGCCAAGATTCTACAATACCAATTAAATCATAGTGTCAGGAATAGACTGGCCAGCAATGGTGGGACTCACCTGCCTTATGGGCTGCAGTACCAGGGCTGGCCAGCGGGTGCTCCCAGCAATCAGAGACTCAACCTTGCAGCCAGCCAAACACCTGAAACTGCTTATACTGGGTGTATTTAAGGGATGGCCAGACCTGCAGACTCTGCCTTGGTGTGTGTTTCTCCTGGGCCCTGTATCCTGTTCCTGCTCCCTGTTCCTGTTCCTGTCTGATTCATTGCTGACCCTGCTCTGATCCCTGGCTTTGTCTGACCATTCTCCTGCTCCTGATCCCTGGCTTTGTCTGACCATTCTCCTGCTCCTGATCCCTGGCTTTGTCTGACCATTCTCCTGCTTAAACCCCATACGTTCTGACCTCCTGTTGATAATCCCGGCCTGCCTGACGACGCTTGCATTGTATGTACTGTTATCTGTGGGTGGTTGGTTTGGTTCGTTTGCACTGTGTATGTTTTAGTATTGCACTGCGTTTTATGTATTGTTTAGTGTTAATAAATTATATTTATAACATATCTGAAGCCTGTGTTTCCCTGCGTCAGTCACATACCTCTGGTCATACCCTGGAGCCCTGACATTACACCAAGGCCAATCCTGACCAGAAGTGGCTGCACAGGGAAGCCATCTTGGCTTGTTGTCGGGAAGGATGGATCTTGATGAGGTTGTGTATTTATATCTGCTAGTGTTTGATGACAGAGAGTATGCTTATCAAACTCTGAAGGAATATCCCCGGGATCAACTACTAGAGTGTATACGGATCGCTCATGTTCTAGTAGATCAGGGCACAGAATTCTCTGAGGTGCAGCCATTGACTCAGGTTTGTACGGAGTTGGTTTCATCTAGTACCCCCGAATGCAGGGATGAATTTTTGTCGCCATTTAGTGCCGACCAGGTAGAGTCCCTGGTATGGTTATTAGAGGATGATGTGGATTGCTTCTTGGAGCATTATGCTGCATGTTCACCACAGACACTAAGAGATTGTATAAACGCAGTGCAGTCTTTGGTCAGACAGGCTTTGTGTAAGCTCAGCTTTGTTCAACCCATACTGCAGACATGGACAGATTTGTTGCACCCAGCCTCAGTCAGCTTACAAAAACCCAGTCCTGCTTCTAATCTATTTCCTCAAAGCTCTATTCCTGCATTCCCAACAGCTCCTCCTGCCCTGCTATCTACCGCATGTCAGTACCCTGTTCCCACTCGCTGCACCTATCCTGCCTTTAACCCTGTAAAAAAGCCCTGTGTAGCAACTGCTCCCTCCCCTGTTCCATCGTCCAGCTCTTCTCTGTCTCCAGCTGCTCCATTCGTTTGCAGACCTGTGTTTACTTGCAGTGCTCCAGTAGTTAAAACTAGAAAAAAGCGAAAATTCTTTCCAACCAATACCATCCTGCCAGTATCCAAACCGGTGAGCCTGCCGTCTGAGAACCTGCTTCCGTGGTTCAGCCTGGTGCCTCGGCACCCGCACTTCAGCCTGATGCCTGTACCCAGCCTGATGCCTGTACCCAGCCTGATGCTTGTACTCAGCCTGATGCCTGCACTCAGCCTGCCTGTACTCAGCCTGATGCCTCTACTCAGCCTGATGCCTCTACTCAGCCTGATGCCTCTACTCAGCCTGATGCCTCTCTCAGCCTGATGCCTCTCTTCAGCCTGATGCCTCTACTTCAGCCTGATGCCTCTACTTCAGCCTGATGCCTCTCTTCAGCCTGATGCCTCTCTTCAGCCTGATGCCTCCATTCAGCCTGATGCCTCTACCCAGCATGATGAACTGATCCAGCCTGATGATCCTATTAGGCCAGTTGACTCGATGCCCGCTGTTGATCCAGATGATCCGGTACCTGATCCGGTGCCCGCTGTCGTGCCAATTGACTCAGAGCCCGCTGTCGTGCCTGGTGACTCGGTGCCCACTGCCTTGCCAGATGACGCGGTGCCGCTGGCGAGCCAAATGACCTGATGCCTGGTGACCCAGTGCCCGCTGTCATACCTGGTGACCCGATGCCCGCTGTCGAGCCAGACAATCCAGTACCTGATGACCCGGTGCCCCGCTGTCGTGCCAATTGACTCAGAGCCCACTGTCGTGCCTGGTGACTTGGTGCCCACTGCCTTGCCAAATGACGCAGTGCCCGCTGTCAAGCCAAATGACCTGATGCCTGGTGACCCGATGCCCGCTGTCCAGCCAGACGATCCATTGTCTCACCCAGTGCCAGCGGTCATGCCAGTTGACTCGGAGCCCACTGTCGTGCCTGGTGACTCGGTGCCTGTCGCTCCGCCTGGGGGTCCGGCGCCCGCCGCTCCGCCTGGGGGCCCGAGACCTGTTGCTTCGCACTGGATGTCCGGTGCCCGCCGCTCCGCCTGGGGGCCCGATGCCTGTCACCCCTCCTGGGGGCCCAGCGCCCGCCCCCTGTCTGGGGGCCCGGCGCCTGCCGCCCCTGTCCGGGGGGCCCGGTGCCCGCCGCCCCGTCTGGGGGCCCGGCGCCTGCCGCCCCGTCTGGGGGGCCCGGTGCCCGCCGCCCCCGTCTGGGGGTCCGATGCCTGTCGCCCCGTCTGGGGGCCCGATGCCTGTCGCCCCGCCTGGGGGCCCGGTGCCTGCTGCTTCGCCCTGGTGATCCGATGTGCCTCTGCCCGGAGTCCAGCCCGATGTGCCTCTGCCCGGAGTCCAGCCCGATGTGCCTCTGCCCGGAGTCCTGCCCGATGTGCCTCTGCCCGGAGTCCTGCCCGATGTGCCTCTGCCCGGAGTCCTGCCCGATGTGCCTCTGCCCGGAGTCCAGCCCGATGTGCCTCTGCCCGAAGTCCAGCCCGATGTGCCTCTGCCCGGAGTCCAGCCCGATGTGCCGCTGCCCGGAGTCCAGCCCGATGTGCCGCTGCCCGGAGTCCAGCCCGATGTGCCGCTGCCAGTGTGCCTCTGCCCAGTGTGCCTCTGCCCGGTGTGCCGCTGCCCGGTGTGTGCCGCTGCCCGATGTGCCTCTGCCCGGAGTTCTGCCCGATGTGCCTCTGCCAGGTGTGCCGCTGCCCGGAGTCCTGCCCGGTGTGCCAGTCTTTGATATCCCGCCAGTTACCAGACCCGGGCGGTGGAACATTTTGCCCAGCTAGGACTGTTTGGAGCGTCCTGAGGCCGCTCCTTGAGGGGGGGGTACTGTCAGGAATGGACTGGCCAGCAATGGTGGGACTCACCTGCCTTATGGGCTGCAGTACCAGGGCTGGCCAGCGGGTGCTCCCAGCAATTAGAGACTCAACCTTGCAGCCAGCCAAACACCTGAAACTGCTTATACTGGTGTATTTAAGGGATGGCCAGACCTGCAGACTCTGCCTTGGTGTGTGTTTCTCCTGGGGCCTGTATCCTGTTCCTGCTCCCTGTTCCTGTTCCTGTCTGATTCATTGCTGACCCTGCTCTGATCCCTGGCTTTGTCTGACCATTCTCCTGCTCCTGATCCTTGGCTTTGTCTGACCATTCTCCTGCTTAACCCCATACGTTCTGACCTCCTGTTGATAATCCCGTCCTGCCTGACGACGCTTGCATTGTATGTACTGTTATCTGTGGGTGGTTGGTTTGGTTTGTTTGCACTGTGTATGTTTTAGTATTGCACTGCGTTTATGTATTGTTAATGTTAATAAATTATATTTATAACATATCTGAAGCCTGCGTTTCCCTACGTCAGTCACATAGCCTTGGTCATACCCTGGAGCCCTGACACATAGTTCTATGTTCATGCACCAAAGCTTCCAACTCACCTATTTTGCTTGGCAGACTTTGGCATTGGTGAACAAATACTTTTAATTCATTGACAGCCGTTATTCACACGTAGTTTGCATATTTTTTTATTTTCATACAAAATGGTACCAATTGTCACCTATGTTTGTAACTTTGGAACCTTTTGGCATATAGCCCTCCCCCATACTTCGATTTTAGTTTTAAATACTCAGCCAGCCATTCCCATTCCTCTCCCGCGCATGACACTTCTCGAACCCTGTTCTGATTTTTTTTTTTTCTATTCACCAATTATTCTTGATTACAGGATTCTTCTCTTTTTGTTCTAGTTTGTTTATTGTGCAGTTTGGCACTGGTTTAGTTTTTTTTTTTTTTTTTTCCTTTTTTTTTTTTTTTTTTTTTTTTTTTTTTTTTTTTTTATTTTTTTTTTTTTTTTTTTTTTTTTTTTTTTTTTTTTTTTTTATTTTTTTTATTTTTGTTTTTTTTTGTTTTTTTTTTTTGTTTATCTTTTTTCATTCTGCATATTTTTTATTTTCCAAATGGTTACAATTTCAATCCCTTTGGAAACCTTTTTTTCATCCCCATAGTAGGCCCTTTGCCCCCATTACCACCCACCAATAAGTATGACCCCTGTCTGATCTGTCTACCCCAATTATAATCAAATTCTCCCTCCCCTCCTCGATCCTAGTTTAAATACTCAGCCAGCCTTCCCATAAACCTCTCCCCGCAGCACAGCAGACCCCCTTCAATTTAGGTGCACACCATCTCTAGTATATAGGTTGCACCCCAATGAAAAGTCAACCCAGTGCTCTAGAAATGTCACCACCTCCTCTGTCCCTTCCCTTATTTAGTTGAAGGCAGTTTGGAGGGTAGTCATTCTGTTAGTGTTACCATTGGGATTGGTTATATGAGCTGGGTCATCAGATTTTTTCATTGAGTCAGTGGGTGGCAGGCATCATGATTAGCAGTGGATTAACAATGTGTACATTTTTCTGAGATTTTTAAAAATTTTTTTTATGAAGGAGTTGGCAAATGTTTTATTTCTAGGTTACAGCCACCAGAGAGAGCAGTATTAAGTTCTCTCTATTAGCTGTGTGTTTTTACTGGTCTTCCTTATCATTGTGCTTTGTATTATGCGTCTGTGACCTGCCACCCTCTTCCTTCATGTTCATGTTCACTTTCTGTACTGAGCATACTCCTTTGGTCCCAACTGCTGGGTGGTCCTTGCTCTACCTCAGAAGAAGTGCATGCGCACGAAACGCATCAGGAGGAGCCTGTGGACGTCGTTGACACTACGCTGCCGGTGCCATGTGGAGGTCCGGCGGCCACCTATAATTTTAAGAGGGTCAGTGGGTCACTTTCACTTGCCACCTGATTATATGTTTTACTTGTTTTTTTTAAATAAATTGAAGTAATATACTACACTATGAGTATCTCTCTGTGTTCTCTGTGAGGGGTCTTTCTCCCAATTTCACAGCCACAGAGTGATTTCAATCCCAGCCCTGGTTCCACTGAAGAGGAATATCCTATCCTGGGAGCTTCCTGACCTGCAGGATTTCGTTTTCCCACAAGAGGGCATTATCGTCATCCATTTCAGCACATATCCATTTTCTGACCAGAGGGAGAGAGGGGAATCTCCAGGATTTCTTACACACATGCATATTTTAAATGCGCTTCTGGTTAGTTTGCATTCTTTCCATTGGCACTAGGAATTAATGAGCACCTTTTCAGGACTATTATTGTGTTGATTTGCATGATTTGATCATTTTACAGCACTGCATTTTTATATGTATATGTTTTACTGAGGATTTTTATATGCGTTTATCCTGGATGTTCAGCTGCTGTTTCTTTGAGAGCGCTCACTGTGTGTCTTTTACCTATACAGTCAATAGATACACCCATTGCACTAGGATTGGTGCCAAAGAACCAATTACTGTGCCTAAAAATTCTGCATTGTCACAACTATAACATAATCTCTTGACTCCAATTGAAAGTATCAAGAGTATTCACAAGAAAATTGGATTATGATTATTATTATTATTATTATTATTACTATTATTTAAATAAGTATTTTTACATTTTTTTATATACTAAATATTTGGAGGTCGACAAACAATCTGAAACTTCATGAAGATGTTGATAAGCTAAAACATTTATATACCCCCGGATAATAAGGTTTTCCTGCTCTCTCTATTTGTCCTTGTGACCATTGTTACTGGGGCTGAGGTGAGGGAAATGAGTTAAAAAAAACCTAAGAGCAGGCTGCCAGGCTACAGACATGATTTTCATTTATTTTGATGTATGTTACATATGTGTGCAAGTAGAACTATGGAAAGTTATGGAAAATACATTTTCAGACATGTAAAAAAAGAACCATGTGCCACCTCACAAACAGTAAATCTCAGTCTTTCTAGTAAAGAGGTCATACGAAAACATGAACAGAGCCCAGAATGCCATTGCCATTGTAAAACTTATCCTACCTTTTTTAGCTTCAATGAGAAACTTGGCATTCTCTTTCTTTTTTCCAAAAATATTTTATTAATATAAGAATAGACAAGATAGCATATAGAGCATATAAAGCTATAAAGCACAGTCAGAACACAGACATGACATATTGCTTCCCGTTTCGCAGACGGGACTTAGTGTAAACTGTAATACAAAGCAATGTGGTGTAGAACAGTACATCAAGCATACAATTCAAACCATTGGATACGTAGAGGAAAGTAGGTACATCACTGAAGGTGTATGTCGTATCGTCTTGAGTATCAGTAATTCTTAATGATGAGGTGATATGAAGATTCGAGCATGGAAGGCATTAGATGTTGTTAAAGTCATGGTTTACGTGTTTATAGCTTAAGTGTATAATATAGTTGCAGTTAATCATATCTGTGTGAAGGTGAATGCACTATTTGGTTGGTGAAGAATGACTGATAAGGAGGTATAACAGGTGTGAAAAAAGAGAGAGGTCAGAAAGAAGAACAGCAAGAAAAAGAGATGTAGGATGAGATGGTAGGTGGGATATTAAAAAAAAAAAAAACACATTTATTTAATATGGGGGGGGGTAATGGGTTGAGTGACAGTAGCGTATATAGGCAATAAAAAGTTAAAATGGATCACCTCCCCAAGTATTAGCCGAGCCGGAAAGGTAATATTAAAACTTAGAATATGTTACGTGCAAGATCAGACAGTGGGGCAACACGAGGATCAGATTGGCATTCTCTTTCATTCACAATGCAGAAGTCAGGAGTGTGATGATAATGAGATCCAGGGAACCCTCCAAAAATTGAGTAAAGAAAACAAGGCAACCTTAACGTTCTTATATTTGCAAACCCAGGCAGTGATGTTTTTAGAATACATGTTTTCTCTGCCCTTCTCCCGCTTAGGATGTAATCAGGTAAATACACAGCTTTTTCGGGAGAGACCTTTCATTAAGCTTCAAAAGAATTTTTAGCAGTTCCATTAAGACTTTTAACAGCATTCTACACAGTGTTAACAGTACTTTAATAATTACAGTGAAATTCAGAGATTTGTAAAAAAGCATATAGTAAATGAACAAGCCATGAACATAATCTAGTTTTATGAAGCCTCTGCTACAACTTATTGTATCCAACGCTGGGCTTTCCCACAGTTATAATCTTGTAATTTTTTTCACATAAAGAAACAGGCAATCGCAGGCCAATGTTTTGAGATCTCATCACTCTGCCTTGAAAAAGGGATGCTGTGAGTTCTCAAATCAATGACCCATGATGCTTGTTGCTTTATGTGAATAAATCACTTATACATAAATGCATCACTTTACCAAGGTGTGATAGTGAAGATCCTTATTTTTTCTCTGACACAGTTCAGGTGCTGGTAATTAAATGTATTAGTTTGGCATCTCCCAGCCAACAGGCTATAAGCAAAGGCTTTATGGCATGTAATAAATACATTAGGAAGCAGAGGAAGGCAGTCCACATTCCTGGCTGTCTATTTATCACTGCAGAGGCAAAGTTTAGTCTTAATTTTAAAAAATCCTGTAATGATAAAGATAGATTATTTGTAAGGGAATCCTGGTGAGACGATTGGCGA